ACTACTCTCTCTCTCTCTCTCTCTCTCTCTCTCTCTCTCTCTTGCATGTTTTATGAGTAAATTTGGTGGGCAGAGACAAGATTCCCTTGCCATCACAGCCACACTTGAAGCAATCATTTATGGCACCCAAAACTAGCCAACAACATATTTCTGTTTTTTCCCTTCACTTGAAACCAAGAACCCACAACCAGAGAGTACCTGCCCCAGCTACTCACTCCATCATCACTGGTAGGGAAGCTATGAGAATGGAGGAGGAGATGCAGATAAAACTAACAAGGATGGGACAACAATCTACTGGTGGGTCTTGTAGCTGATAAAGGGGCAAAGGCATCATGAATCTTGAAACCCATAGGAAACTTCACAAGGCAACCCACCAATCCACTCAGGTCAGCAGAACTTGCAACAGGATGAGATGGAGCTGTTCTGGCAATCAATGATGCAGAAAAAGGTAGGGATGAGAGTGACGGACTGGCCCCCAATGGACATGTAGAATTTTGTTCCAATAAAGAATTCTGGATCATCTATCTGCCACTGACTGGTCCAGTGTTGGTGGGCACACCCATTTCTTGTCCCATGTAAGCCTTACCCTCTTCAGGAACAGTGGCTGTTCAACACTACTCCACTCCACGGTCACTGATCCCTGAAACCTCTTCCATTCCGAACCACAGACGCCACAGTTCATTCCTGACATTCTCTGCGTTAGCAACATGGGTTTAGGATTCTAACCACTGTGATTCTTCAGGATCAAAAATGCACTTGGCATATGCAGCACTGCTAAATCATGGCTCCGGAGGCCCTGTTGGAGTCAAATGCCATCCAGCTCAGGGTGCAGTGAGTGTTGGGCAACTTCACTGGCGGGTGGTGTTCATCATGTCAGGGTTTGGACTGGTCGATGACATGGTGATTTGAAATGAGAGGAGCAGAACCCCAGGAGGACCTTAGTTTCTGTTCCATTTTGTACTGAAATCACCACTGATTTGGATGCTTCTGCTGCAATTTCTTCTGATGCTCAACTATTGTACAGTTTACCCTTTTGCTTCTCTTTCTACTCTCCTGTACCAAAGCTACTGTCCAATTATCAATGTTTGCAGCCAAGGTTATAGCTTAGAAGTTCTCTTCAAGATTGATGCACAAGACCAGTGAAGAGGAATATTCATGGCATACTGCCAAAAAAACAAGACTAATTTGGCTTTTCGTTTACAACTTGAATGGATATTGTTCTCTCTCTTTCTCCTCCCCTCCATCAAGGTGCTGTACATAAAACAATTATTCCAGTCAGTGTTAACTTGGAAGTAGGAACAGTATACCAATGAAAAGGAATGCTCATGTCATACTGCCAAAGAAACTAACTTGGCTTTTGGTTCACAACTTGAACATTATTCTCCTTCTGCTCCCCTGCATTAAAGTGCTGTACATGAAATGATAATTCCAATCAATACTAACTTGGAGGTTTTTTAGGACCAAAGAAGAATACACCAATGAGAAGTAATACTCATCTCATACTGCCACAGAAACTAGTTTGGCCTGTAGTTTCAAACATTAATTGCCATCAACCACCCCAACTTGGAAGAAAGAGAATTGGTGGTTTCAGTGAGACTGATGGATCATGTGACCCTGAAAGCAAGCATTTCCTCACAAGGTGGGGTCCACTTCAGGATGTGATGGTAACAAAACAAAGGAAAAGAGATAAATTTGGTCTCCCCAACCCTCCCTTGCCACCTCAAGAAATGACCCAACACCAATCAAATCAAATGATGAATGCATTGCTCTGAATCCTGTGTTTCAGTGTAACCATTCACAAGAGAAAAGAAATACTCCAAAGCAGTTCCTGCTTGTGCACCAGTTCTGCTTATCCTGGTGAAGTTGGTCCACCAATTCATGAACATGAGTTATGGCAAATTTAACACCCTCTGAAAGTTCATGGATAGAATAACAATTCTTCATATTATTCATTCAACTGTCCACTTGCTATATCAAGGATTTTATGTGAAGGAAGAAAAGTAGGATAACATCTTAAACCACCACTTGGGTTTGACCACCCTTTCAGAAATAAGTTTGAATCAGAGATCATTCCCTTTCTTCTCATTTAACTTCTTTTCTGAACTCTTCATTGGATCATTTCTACAGGGGGGAAGAACAAGTTGAAACAAAGTAGCTTGTTAGAAAGTTGGGGTGAGGACCAGCCTAAAAACACCTTCTTCTTTTGGCTCTTAATGATGGAGAAGAGTGGCGAATGTTATATTCCCCTCCCCTCCTCCACACAGCTGGACTCAGCCCCTCCTTTTCTTCTTTAGATGCCTCAACCTATAATGAATGCAGGCAGCTTAAACTAGTAACAACTACTGTGGACACCACTCAACAAGAAAGCATGAACTGCTCTGAGCCCCGTGAATTCATGTTCCTTTCTGGTTTCATCACCAGCTCAGAGCTTAAAGCATCCACTGACATCATTTGTTTAGTCCCAAAACAATCATTGATTGGGTGCAGATAAATAAAACATATTGGTGGTGTGACTTTGTCATGATAACAGGAATCTCCCTATAAAATAAAAGCCATAATTAAGCTGTTTGTTCGCATCTCAATGTGCCATAGTGCAAGAAGAAAACGTCGACAACGATTTGAACTTGGTATCTCTATAAAGACATGGATGCGAATTCTATTATGCTGTGTGAGAGTTGACTGTGTCAAAAGAAAACAAATAAGGAGACTTGCATTGTTTGGCACAATACTATTGTGACATGTCTGGGGTTGCAGGTGTCATACCTTCTGTGATGCAGTCACTGTCGTGAAATAATGCTCCACCTAATCACAATCAAAGATTGAATGAATGGTTGCTGTGGTAATGATGTATCAAATGATCAGAACAAACCCATATTGTGGATAATCTAATAGCTGAGTATCAACTTTTAAAACCTTTCTTTTACAAATATCCTTAGATTAAAAAAAAAACTAGTTGTAACCCCAACTTTGCTATTGATAATTTTTTTATTTCATATAATCATCTTAAAATAATAGTAAAATATAATTTTACTAAACACAATCCCTCAATTACCAATCATACCTTTATTTTTTTCAATCTCTTAATTATCCTTATTTCATATAAACCATTTCATATGTCGATCGATCATCCCCTTGAGTGATAGCATCAAAATCATGGTTGCATTACATACGACAATCAGGATAAGAAGAAAGGAGAAGAAGGTAAAGAAAAAAAACTGTTTGGAATAGAACCGGAAAAATATTAGAATTAAATGATAAGTTAAGAGTTTTACGATCAAAAGAATATCTTACAAATATTAAAAGTTCTTCAAATGAGGTTATAAATAATAAAATTAGATTGCCAATATAAATTTCTTGGATAAAAATAGGACTATCACAAATATTAATTTTGGATGATCTTTGAATAATATTAATTATTTTGATAATTACATCAAATATTAAAAAGAATTTGAAACTCAGAGCTAATCAAATCATATCACAAAAGAGGGTCGAAGCTTTACCCAACAATTGGAATCTCAATATCATTATAATAAACAATAATTAATCTGTAAAATGTTCACTTTTATAAGAATACTTGTAGTGAAAAACTAAGTTGGAAGGGCCAATAGATTTGGAGAAATACTTCAAGAGTATGAATAACTTTTTGAAGGCCAAAAAAAACATTCAATTGGAGGTAAGCATCAAGAACAAAATATCTGTGGTTATGTGGTGCTCATCTGCCTAGATCCGGCAAGAATCCATTGGAGTGATGGAAAGGTCAAGCAAGGGAATGATGCACTGGTGGCTGCAGGACTTGGGTGTTCAGAAAAGAGAAAGGTCCAGTTTTGGGTGTCAAAGATTTGGGCTGAGAAGAGGACAAACGACAACAGGCACCAACCACCATTCCGAGTTCTCCATGAGTGCCACACCTTTCTCGTTGCAAGATTTCCTTCTCTTGTCTGTCACATCACTTGTACCGTACTCGGTTTTGTGTGCCACATCCAGTTCTTGACAGCATCCCGTCCTTCGCTGAAGGAAAGAGAGAGTGAGAGCCCCATCCAATGTGATGTTTTAGAGAGGATTAGAGGTCCAGTCTCCCATCTTTTGCAGCGGAAATTAACTATAATTTTAACATAGAAAAAAAAAATCCCAAATCCTAAAGCAGTAATGGAAATTACCTAATGACTAGTGGTCTTTGCTCACCGAGGGACCTTTTTTGTTTCACTGCAGCTCACTGCGAATGCACGGAGAGACAATTCTTGTCATCAGAAACCATTACTGCATCAAAGAAGCCCACCACAGATCCTTGTGGGATGCAAAGCCCAGAACTTCACAGGATTTTATGCATCTCTATTTCCACGCTCCTCGGCTGCACCATCAAGCTGCTGCAATGGCCATCCACAAACGTCTTGATTGGCAACTGAAGGTATTAGACTGCCTACCTTATATAATTCTCCCTGATAAGTTGTCACGGACAAGTTCATGAGGCTCAATGATCTCATCTTGAACATGCAGGAGCACCTGAAGGATTGCTCATTGAAAGGTCAGGAGACTCTGTCCCAAGGAATCAATGCCTTCTGGGATCCTTACAGTGAAACAGAGCCATCCTTGTAAGATGTCAGAGTAGTCCACAAGGTCCAGCACCTGAAGAGATGTAAGCTTCCCCATATCTGCAGGCATTTTGCAGACAGTAAGTTCAACCTTAAATGAAGTCTCAACGATGAGAAGGAGGGTGCTTTCCAAGAAAGCAAATTGCTGTTCAAATGCAAAGATTGGAGAGAAGGAAGCTTCGACAATTCAGCAGTTCAACTGACAAACATGTTAGAAAGTGAGTTGTCATTGAGATCTATGATGCATAGGCCGATGCAAGCAGCAATGATTCATTCAAGCTGTTGAACTCAAGTCACGAACATGCCATTTCAAATCCAAAAGCCAATTCGGAATGTGGTTGAGATCACAGTATGGGCTAAATGAATGGTCGACAAGTGTTTGGTTGCGTGTCCAAGCAGGCAAAAGTTTAGGACAGATTACAAGAACCCATAGTAAAAAGAAGGCACTAAAATGAAGAAGACGATCCTCTGAAAGAATCAAGTTCGAGGATAACTCATGTATGCGTAAACATGTCAAAGCTTGTGAGGTTGGAGGAGTGGGCTTCAGTCAAGTTGCCTGCAAAGAGTTCAAGGAGAGGCTAAAATCCTGGAGCCCAACAGATGCAGGCTACAGGGGACTGCCCCGCACAACATTGTTAACACTCATATTATCAATCGAGAACATCCGTCAGCCCTCCACCAATACCAATTGGGATTTGGAATAACGCGGAAGGTAAATTATATTGCAGATTAGCAAGGTTTTTGATGCTTCACAGTATGCGTTCCATGATATAGTTATCGTTGAAGTTAAACATGATCCATGACAGGAAGACGACTCTACTCCCTCCAAGATGGATCAAGTTAGATTATCTCCAGGAAAGATCTGAAAGCATGGCAATTTACATAGTGCGCAGTACCCCTGAGTCTCGATCCACAGCTTTCTAGTCAATTAAAGTAAACTCTTAAGCAAAATTTGTGATCTCAGTCTTACCCATTTCAATCTCAAGTTACCAAAATGGAATTTTGATCATCCTTGATCGACTCATTTCGACTCAAGCATCGAGCAATCAAATTGAGTTCAGAAAAGAAAATTTCTTATCCATATGACTGATGCAAAATTGGAAACAAGTTAGGGCTTAGCACCGATTCGTAGAGAAGAAAGGGCAGCGGAGGAAGGACCAAGCCCTCGGCGTCGGAGACAGAGACCGCGGAGAGGCGGAAGAGGTGCTCCTCCGTCCTCTCCGGCGACCATCTTGCTCGCTCGTCCGATAGCGGCCTCCGTTTGGCGCGGGAGATTTTGGGGATCACATGTTACTATTAGTGGGCGAATTTATTCCTACTTATCGGACGGTCGAGATTTTTTCTTGATCGAAGGCCACGAAGACCGGTGTCGCGGCTACTGATCTGTGAACGGGTTCGGGTTGGGTGAGGCTTCGATCGATTGCAATAAGATTCTAAATCGGATTCGGATTGGGTGAGGCTTCGATCGATTTCAATAAGATTCTAAACCTTTACACTTGAGGTGGTGTCATCCTTTGTCTCCCATTATCTAATAACATTATATTCGTACCATCATCAAATCCATGAAAGTAAATCTTGCACTCATGCAAGAAAAAGGACATTGTCATCCAATTTGAATATTTAAAGTGGATGATATGCTTCTCTCTGCATCAGAAATATATATCTTATTTCATCGGCCATTGTGATTGGCCTTCCTGGGATCCATGTTTCCAATTCCTCAGGCAACAGGTGTAGTTTAGTGGAGTAGAGTAATCAAGCATGGCCACCGAGATCACCGTAGGGGGGGAAGGGGTATTTGGCATCAAATGAGTAGGGAATCATATCTTACGACTGAACTGCCTTCAAACATAGAATCATATCATAGGGTAATTGCTGTGTGGATATCCAAAGGTCAACCCCTATCAGTCTTTCTTCGGTCAGTCAAACCATGTATGGATTGAGCTTTACGGTGCTTTTGAGAATTCAAGTAATTGGGCTGCATCATTATTGCGTATCTTTTGAAATGAACAGCATCGTTATCATATTCCTTTCCCCTAAAAACAAGAAAAGACTGCCATTAGTGACACTGAGTTGATCTGACATAGGTGGCCCTTTTGGCCATCACAAGATGGTGGTGGGTTACTAAACCTGTAATTAGTCAGTGATGATAATAATAGTAGTTAAGAATAATTATCAAAAAAAATTTATTGAAGAAGTGAAAAAAATTAAATACATTAACATGTCGCTATCATATTTATACAAATTAGAAGGAAAGATTTTTCTCAACAGAATAGAGAGATTTTCTCGTATAATTGAAAAAAATTTATTTTCTATCATGCCCCCGCAAGATGGTGCTCCTGTCAAAGATACCAATCTTGAATCGATGCAAAGAATAATTTACGAGCGAAAGTCGTGAGTAGAGCAAGAGCAGATCGCTACTGCTATTGCGATTGCTGTTGCTGTGAGGGCACAGGCGTTCCTTTCATTCTCCTCAAGTCGGCTCTTCGCTCTTCTTAAGTCCGTTGATTGTTGGCAGATCAACGAAGACTATCGCGATGAAGAAGATGAGGATTGACCGTGGAGCCTCTTAGGAATTTAACTGCCGAAGACAAGAACAAAGCTTCGCTTTTCATCTTATCTTCTATGGTCATATCCTCAAATAAACTATTGCCTAGACTCACTTATCATCAACGATATGTTCGGGTCGAGCCATCATCAAGTCATGCATGCTCTTCCACCTCACGTCGTAACCCGGTGGTGGGTAGGAAATCACAAGCAATTTGCTGACACTTATGAATCGGAAAGGCGGTCCCATGAAGGGGATGACTTCTTTCCATCCCCACAATCGAAGGCGTTGTGGAAGACCCAAGATGCCATCGACATCCATTAAGGCTCCATCTTACCTTCCGGTGGCCGAAAGGGTCACCACCTCCATGGAGCCGATGGAGAGAGAGAGAGAAAGAGAAAGGGTGTCATTAGAGAAACGGACATGAAAACAACATTTAATGATAAAAAGTAATTGGGGTCGATTCCGACGTCAATGGAATGGTGCGTGTCGCCACGTGTCGGCCGGAAGTGTCGTTCGGCCAGAGGGCATCTCTCGGTCCCCCCTCCCATGACAAGGAGACCATGTCTACCCTAATGATTCCAAAGCCAATGGCCTCACCAAGCAAGTGCATTCTTCTAATGAGTTCAGTGTAGCCATTTCCTAGGGACGAGAGGCATTCACAATCGAAAGAGATGTTGTTGTTGTTGTTCATCATCGCCCTCGTCAACAAAGCTAATCATAGGCAAATATATGCTCTTGTTTGTGGCCTATCTTAGACGTTTCCGCAATGCTTATCCTTGACATTTTCTCCGAATTAGCATCGATAATTAATTCAGCAAACAAACTTCACCGTTTAGCTTCAGAAAAAGTCAACAGCTCAAGTTGAGTGTGCCATCACTTTTTTTTTTTCTTCTTCTTCTTCTAAACAGATCTTTCTCACACAAATCATTTCTCTTTTTTTTTCCCTATCCATTTAGACGAATTAATTTACCCAAAAACTTTCAATAATATCAACATTTTTCAAGCATATAAGAAAACGATAGACAAGAATCGTAATTGTTTATCGACTCTGATCTTCTATCGAAATCCTAAAAATGATGAATTATACTTGAGCGAGACGAAATCAATAAAAATTTTAATTGACTTGGCCAATAAATTTAATTTATTAAGAATTATCATATATTTTTTCCTTCCTTAATAATAGGCTAACTCACATAAACTTAAAAAAAATAATTAATCATTTCTTATTATTTTCTAAACTTTTTACGGTAATTATAATTTTTATTTTACTATAACTCTCAAGCTTATAGATTAATTTAAAAAAAAAAAAGAGAAGAAAATGACATAATCTTAAGATACACAATTAAACTGATTGTAGCGTAAAAGACGAATACATTAAGTATGACTACACACCAAAACCTCTCCTACAAAACGATTCGAATAAAGGAGACGGTCACGTTACGAGAAGGAAACACAAGAGGGTGGTGGTGATAGTGCCTTATCAACGTCCAAACAGGAAAAAAGATATCCCCTTAGCTTTCATGTATTTAATCTTGTATGGACTATCCCCACAATATCTTGACCATCCTATTTTAGTGGCAAAGATATCACTTTATGGTGTGGATTTATTTACACACACCCGCAATGATATTATAATATCATTCATTAATTTAATGGCACCTATAGATATAGATAGGGATTATGAGGGGCCACGTTTAATTAGGACCTAATCAAGTCCTCCCCTCCTCCCTTCTCCCTATTCCACTCCTTTCCTTTTTGTTTCCTCTCTCTCCTTCGACTCCCTCCCTTCCTCCCCTTCTTAAGGGTATACATGCCATGGACGCCTAAAGGAGCCTCCATAACGGCGCCCTCCCAATTCCGTTAACTCTCCGTTAAACATTTACGTGGGTTTTACGACGACGTTGTGATCTCTGCGGCTTTTGGCCATTCTTAATGGCCAACGCCGTCGACACGGCGGGTTCCAACGGCGACGACGGCGCAGGAGGAGGAGGAGGAGGAGGGGCGCGGCCTCCCCGTCTGCCGCGGTGGACGAGGCAGGAGATACTGGTGCTGATACAGGGGAAGAGGGTGGTGGAGAGCCGGGGCAGAGGGCGTGGAGCCGGGCGGGGCGGCGGCGGAAGCGGGGAGATGGGGGCGGGGGCGTTGGTGGCGGCGGCGTCGCCGGTGGAACCCAAGTGGGCGTCGGTGTCGTCGTACTGCCGCCGGCATGGGGTCGACCGGGGGCCGGTACAGTGCCGGAAGCGGTGGAGCAACCTCGCCGGCGACTTTAAGAAGATAAAGGAGTGGGAGGCGAAGGGAAAGGAGTCGTTTTGGACGATGAGGAATGATCTCAGGAGGGAGAGGAGGCTGCCGGGGTTCTTTGACCGGGAGGTGTACGACATCCTCGACGGTGTAGCGGTCGCGGAAGTGGAGGCGGAGCCCGCCGCGGAGGAAGAGGAGGAGGGGAAGAAGGGGCTTGGGCGGACAGCGGCGGCGGGGGGCGAGGAGGAAGAGGCGGTCTTTGATAGCGGGCGGACCGCAGCGGAGGATGGACTGTTCTCGGACTTCGAGGAGGAGAAGGAGGCGGAGGACGAGGACGAGGATACGGCGCCGCCACCACAGCCCGTGGCGGCCGTGCCGATATCGGGTAATGGTTCTTTAGATGGATTAGTATTGTTCAGCCTAACCTTGTTGTTTAATCGACAAAGATTTAAGCTTTTCTTTTCATTGACATGCAGAAAAGAAGTGCGAATCATCTCAACATTGGAGGTCTGATGAAGGTAATGGCTGTTGCTCTCTCTTTTCCTGTGCAGTTCTACAAGCTTTTGTCACTCCTCTCAATCATTTGTAGACACTTGAATGCTAATTCTTTATGTTATTGCACATTTCATGCTCTGTGAAATGTATTCGATGGAACAATTTAGAGTTCTATCTGTTAGCTCTGTCTCAGTAAAGTAGTATACTATTTTGCTCGGTTTGTATGTGCTTTTCTCTTGTTTCCTAAGCACCATAGGAAAACTATCAGGCAAACAGAGTGCAGAAGGGTAACCAAAGAAAGAATTAAGATTGTGAACCTCTGCAATTGTTTTGGCAGAAAAACTACCATAGATTCATAGTAAAGAACTCCAATTTTTGATGGGAAGAGATAGATGTTAGAAGAACCATTGAATACTCTGTTAAACTCTGTCCTGACATTACAATTCAAGATTTGTTTCTTTTATGAAAAATGTTCAACATATATGTGTTCTTTTAGTGTTGTCATGATTATTCACTTTGTCTATCAATTGCCATGCAAGATAAAGTTAGATCTATCATAGTAATTTAATGAGATATCAAAAGCTTGCTGTGGCCAAGAATCTGTACTCGAGATGAGATGGGAAATGAATGCTATGCTCATACATAAATACATCTGTAAACTAATTGTTAGAGTGGTTTCCCTCTAAGCTTCCTGCTTACATGGATTTCAAATGTTCTATTCTTAGCTTATAATATTTAGGTAATCTCCGTTGTGCATCGGATCTTCAAGGAGAAAATCTAAACCAAGTCTAACAATCTTGGATGGGCCTCATTAATCAATCATTCAAGTTTCCAATGAGCACTAAGCTTTAAGAATTGGCTCGGAGTGTTATGTTATGGGTTTTGGAATTTACTTGATTGGCTTTAATGGTGCAGCTACGGCAAAAGATAAACCACAAGCTGAGAACCCCGGGAAGAGCTCTCCATCGCAAGGAGGACAGAAGAGAAGACGAACATCACCAGATGAAGCTGAAGACAGCGATCTACAAAGTAGACTGATTGAAGTCTTAGAGAGGAACAGCAGAATGCTGACGGCCCAACTAGAAGCTCAAAACATGAACTGCCAATTGGACAGAGACCAGAGGAAGGACCAAGCTAATGGCTTGCTCGCCGTTCTCGGCAAACTCGCAGACGCTCTTGGTAGAATAGCTGACAAGTTGTAGCAAATCTCCGTCCCAAGATCATCGGAGGAAACTTTGTCGATCTTGATGGAGGTGGGTTGAGAATGCGTCTAGTTGGTGTCTCAGAAAAACCAGCTTGTGAATTGGCTCCGGGAATGTAAAGCTCTGCTCCTCTTTCTTTGGAAGTGATAGGGTCGATAGGGTGATTACTTACAGAGAAATGAGAATTTTGGCAGCTCTGCGGTTGCTGTCTTGTGATCGGAAACTGCTGTCGACAGGAACACAGGCTGTGTCAAATTGATTTCTTCAAGTTCTTGTATAAACTTAGTGGAAGTTGAAATTGTAGCGAGATGACAGATAAAACAGTTAGAGCAGTTTATTATTTCGGCAATCAATGATTTCTCCTATATTTTGGGTATTAATTGTTGCTTTGAATTCAGATCAGTTCTGCTTAATAGCTAAACCAAATTATATACTGTCTGTATTGTCTCTCGTAAGCTTCCGCGTTGAGGCATCGATCGGTACGGATTCGGATCCTCTCCAACCTCCAAACCGATGGATTTGATCACGAAAACGAACGGCTGAGATGTGAGAACAGGGGAATGAAGGACGGAGATATGGCGGTTGAAGGAGTGAACGGATCCGCATGAATTGGAGAGGATCCGAAACATCAAAGCCCTCACCCGAATTGCCGTCGCTGCAACGGCACAAGGCTCTCCCGTAGGTTGGGATCGCTTAGAGATGAAACGGGTCTTCGGCGCCAAGAAGAATAAGGAGCCGCCGCCGACGATCCAGGACGCGACCGACAAGGTCCGACCTCTTTTTAACCCTTCCTCTTCTTCCGGCTCTTGAAAGAACTCTGCTTTACCGATTTCTTTGTGACGCCGCTTGTGATATTATAAGATCTTCTGCTAAATTCCGTGACCTTCATGATCGTAAGTCGATGTTCTTCTGTTTGATGCATACCCATTTCGATTCGTCCCCTCTTCCATGTTGTCCCCACCCAATCATCACAATCGGAAACAAAGGTGTCGCAGGTGTGATAATTTGAATGGTAACATGTAACTACTTGTTCTTTTTATACTTATTTTACACATCCTTCATAATCCAGCATTATAGTTAGAACTAAATCTTACTTTTCGTTCTGGAAGTCCTTGAATATGAACTTAATCAACTGTAGCCTGCTATATATCTAGTTCATGCTGAATGGAGACTTGGGACATGTTGTTTCTTGTGCTTCATTGTGTCACTAATAATATGGTTGTTTTTGTTTTCTGATTAATATAAGGGGTGTCACAGTGGATGAGAAAATCAAGAAACTTGATGCTGAATTAGCTAGATACAAGGAGCAGATTAACAAGACTCGACCTGATCCAGCTCAAGAAGCTGTTAAAGCTCGAGCGATGAGGGTCCTTAAGCGAAGGAGAATGTAGGTTACCTCTGCCTTCTTAGTTTTCACATAAATAGGTAGCTTGTTTGACCGAGTTGTCTGCTTGCGGTTGTAATATTCTGATAATATTGTTCATGTTCATAATTGTGGATGGTTCTATCCCCAAAACACATTCATGGGATGTACTTAATTGTCAATCCTATATGAGTTCTAGGTATATAGATAACATGTAATTGCATATTTAATAGATTAATTTGGAAATTATAATTTGATCGTAGATGTAGCATGGTCTTGACTGGAGGCAAAGAAAGGGCTTTATTGTGGGAATTTGGCCTCCTTATATTTAAGGTTTCCTTCGAGGGCTCTGCTGGGTTTGAGCTTCTCTTGTAGCTCCTGCTTTGCACTGTTGAGATAGAATGAGTTAAATAATTTGCATTATCTTACAAAGTACAAAATATATGCTGGTGATGTTTCTGTGCATCACTATCTTTTGATCTGTTGCATGAATATGCACAAATATATTCACTGACTGCAAATTTCACTTCCTTTTTCCTAGGTATGAGGGATAGCCTGACATGCTGCATAACCAGACATTCAACCTCGATCAAGTTGCCTTTGCCACAGAGGGAATTAAGGATGCTGAACAGACCGTCTGTTTTACAAGCTTTTACCACAATTTTATTGTCTGAAGAGTGTTCCCTTTGCTGATACACCAACATACCATTGACTTCTACAGACGTCAGCACTGAAGTCTGCTAACAAGGAGTTGAAAGGGATGGTGAAAATTGTGAATACCTCAGACATAGATGTATGTAGGTTATATTTTCGTATGGTATGCTAGCATGTGCTAAAAGATTTTATGCCATTTCTAGTTTGAACAAAGTTTTGTCCAAGACTATGAAAATGCAGTATTTGGTACTACAATTGGTGTCTGAATTCATTTTTGGAATACACAGAGTATGCAAGACAAGATGATGGATTTGAGTACAGAAATCCAAGAATCTTTGGGAAGAAGCTACAATGTTGCTGATGACATTGATGAGGAAGAACTAATGGGAGGCATGGTACCATGATAATGTTACATTACTTGTCTAGGTTTGTCGTTTTTATTAGGCGTTGATGCATTGTGTCATTTTGCATAGGCTAGAGTTTATTTCAGCATGATATTTGTGTAATTCATTGTATCCAGTTTTATTTGTTGGTTTGGATAAGCATGATATTTGTGTAATTCAGTGTATCCAGTTTTATTTGTTGGTTTGGATAATCAATGCAGAGCTAGATGCGCTGGAATCAGACATGGGTGCAAAGATGGAATCTGATGCAATTCCATCCTATCTTCAACCAGATACGGAAACGGATCTGGATGCAAAACTCAACTTACCTGCAGCTCCAACAAGCAATGCTGCGGCAATGCCCAACAGAGCGAGGCAGCAGGTATATCCATCACTTACTGATAGTGAAATCATGGAACAAAATACATGAGCATTGGACAAAGATGATTTCTGCCAGGAACATGTGGAAAATTACTTGCCTTTTAACAATTTACATGCCATTGAATACCAGATAAATCTGTTAATTTTATAGTCTCCAAGAAATCTGTTGATGTTATCCTTGAAAGATGATTTTAGTTTGCATTAATTGCGTCGTTCCGATGCATAGAAATCTGTTAATGAGCATTCCATCCATCATGGATTTGTGGCATGCTGAAACTTTTCGTTTGTTCTGATGCAGACCGAGGATGAACTAGGTTTACCTGCTGTACCCCAAAGCTTCTATACGCAGTTAAAAGAACACTGTTCACAGAATGGTAAAGCTCATATTCATGACAGCCACAATGTTCTTCATTTTTACAGGTAAATCTACTCATTTCATGTGCTACTTCTGGTGGTGCAACATAGTCAAGAGTATGATGATCATTTGGAGCTGAATTCAACCTTTTTTTTTGACTGGAAATTGTAGTTAACTTCATGTGACGCTTGCTGGAGAACACATCCCACTTTGAATTGTTACCTGAAGCTAACTGATTCAATCATTGTGATTTTTCTCATGTTCTATTTTGACCCTATCCACAAGCTAGTGCATTTTTGTATCCAATGAAATATGATTAATTGGTAATCATGACACTTGCATGGTTGTCAACACTTTCCTGTTTGTTATCCGATAGACGCTAGGTCAACATATCATCTTCATCCGATCGACACCTTAATTGAAATGTTGTGATGAAAGCTTAAGGCTAGAGACTCTGAATTGAAATGTTATGTCAAAATTATGTTGTGTGAAGGTATATATCAAGTTTCTTTTAATATTTAAGTTGATAGAAGTTGAAGGTGAGAATGAAAAGATTGAAAAAGTCGAAGAAGATTTTCGAAGAAACAACCCGACGACCTTAATCATAAGCAATCAAAAAAATATTTTTAAATTATTTCATGTTAGAATTCATGTTATTGTGACAAGATTCATGCACTTTTGATCATGTTCTGTTTGTCAAGTTTTGATTGTTGATGAATATTCGCTATATCAATTGATAAATTTGTTTTCAATGTAAGATAGAGACTGTGATGCATCTTAGTTGATTTAAGAATTTAAATATTTCTGATATGTTTTTTGTTGTCACTTAGTGAGTGCATTACGGGTATATGGACACACATATACTTAATACTAAATTGACTGGATAATTGCCTTCTAAATGACTAAGGATGGAAATATCATCATAGAAATGTACAGAACGACTGAGCTTAATTTCTAACCCTTTTTTTTTTTGGCTTAATCATTAGTAGGACATACATATACTCCCCGATACGGTTCAGGAAAGACGAAGGAGAATCCTACCGTCACATTACCGTCAGGACCGACGGCACCTCCTCCGCCTCCTCCGGTCGAAGATGGCGGCAAGCAGACAGGGCCCTCGCGGAGCCCCGTGATCCCGCGGGAGATTCGACAACCGGGCGCGGAAGCCGTCGTCGCCGCGTCCCCCGAAACCCCCCCGGCCGGCCGGCGTTGGTGCCGAAGCTGATGGGGCTCGAGGACCTGTCGGCCCTCACGGTTGCTGTGACACCGGAAGCGGCGGGAGCTGCAGCGGGCTCTGGAGAAGTGCGACGAGGACCTCAGGACCCTGAGGCGGATCATCGAGGCCGTCCGCTTGGGGGAGATCCACGCTAAGGCGGTCTCCTCCTCCGTCGGATCGGGAGCGCCGATCAAATCGGACGGCCTGGATGCATGGAAGGAGTGCGACGGCGAGCAGCCGAGTCCCCCGTCTCGGTCCTCGACGCGATATCGTCGCCTCGGTATCGGTCAAAAAGATGCCCAATTGGTAAGCATCAACCCAACCTTTTTACCGGCTACAGAAACGTGCGTTACGTTACATGGCACGCATCTCGATGCAGAGACCAAGGATACTACAGCCGTCGGATCCAGGATCGTGAAGCCATCACGTATGGGCTTTCTCTTCGTGGGTGAGCAAATCCAAAGACGGCAAAAGCCAATAATTCACCGAACGACTGTGCCGGAGAGAGTTACAATAATGCACCGAACGCTGCCAAGTTGATCGAAGCGATGCCGTTGGTGGTCGAGCCGACGGGACGAGAGATCATGACGATGATCGAAGGCGTTCGGCAACAGTGCTGGAGGAGGAGGAGGAGGAGGAGAACAAGCCGAACGATGGCGGAGTCCGTGGAGGAGGTGTGGGAGGTGGCGAGGGCAGGGGTGTGGATGGAGAGTGTAATCTTGAGGGAGTTGGTGGTGGAGTTGTTCGGGTGGTGTTGCAGGTTGGGACTTGTAGGAAGAGATTATACTTTGACTTGCATGTTTGATTGATCCATGAGGCTCAAAAAATATATATCATTAGGTGATTGGCATCAGACCTGTTTCTGCATTACCTTTGCAATAAAGCACCATTTGCAACCCTCAAACAAGTGGAAACTCCTAAAACCCACTCGCACAACCGAGCCAAAAAAGGAGAAGGAAGGGACGACTTGAAAGTCCTCACCCCCAGCTCGATCCTCGGAGCTTAGACAGACAAAGTCCGACCAAGAAAGAAAAAAAGAACCGGTTCTTGATCGGAACCCCCTTGTTGGTGTAAACAATTTTTAAACCGTGGCCTCGGGTCCGGATGATGGGGATCTCCCTGGGACATTCCTCGAGACTGCTGAGGCGGCCGGCCGGGACGGGGTCGCCGTTTCCTCCGGGCAGGAACTCCTCGCCTGTGCGTCGTGGGGACCTTCGGCTTCGCACATGCACAAAGGTCTGGTCGGGGTGCTCGGCCCGACCCCTCCGACGAACAAATCAATGATGTGGATTGGTGCGGTGTTTTCCTATGTCTCTTTCCCCTTTTCTCCCTTTCTTCCCCCGGCGCTTAGAACGCGAGGGTATTTATGTGGATTGGTCCCTGATGTGCCTGTCCGCAGGAAGCAGGATCGTACCTCTGATGGCGTATGACATCGCTATTGACGTGGCATGAGAGATCGAGCTTGAGCGGTCGTTAATGGGTCTCGGCCTGTGTTCTGGTTCGTTTGACTAAGCTTTGTCGGATTGATCGAGGCGTGAGCTTTGTCTAGATCAGCTGACGTCAGCCCGAGTCTTGTCGCCATTTATTACCCTCATCACCCCTAAGAACGAGAATGAAACGGACGGAGAAGGAGAAGGGACGACCTCGGGGTAAAAGAGCAGGTTAGGGCGGGAGCGAAGGGGGAGAAGGAGAGAGAGGAAGGGGCTTGAGAGAAAGAGGAGAAGAGGCGGCGGACGAAGAGGACGCGGAGATGGGGAGGTAAAGCCGGCCGCAGAAGCGCCATCGGCGGTCGTGGCCTTCAGCTGCTCGACGCAATGTTTCCCCCGCCCCATGCTTTTCGGGTTTTGCGCTCTCTTTTCTCAAGTGCAAGTCCAGAAAAGAGGACAGTGACCGCCACTCCTGGTTCCTACACTCTGCTGTGTTCACTCTGGGTGGTCCATGTGTATGGTGCAGTGATGAGACTGTTCTTTTGCTTTCAGTTCGAGTTGCCCAAGAATCGAAGTTTGATGAGACTCTCGACTCTCGACTCTCGACTCTCGACCAAAGGTGTTGGAGAGCTGCCGCCGTGATGATGATTGGGCTGGTCATGAGGATGTAATATTCTTGTGGTAGGACTGGAACTGCTTCGCTGCATAATAATGGCTGTCCTTCAATTTGGGTACAGTGGCGGTAGAGTTCCCTGATTCCTGGGATTGGGTTCTGAGCAGGAACAGTTCTCTTACCACATTCAACACGTCTGCATTGTTGAACTGAACTTCATCTTTTGTGCTACCTTTTTAACGAGTCTGCTTCCATCAGTCCAAGATTGGATTTTGGTGAAGCGTCGGAGCTTCCGAGGATAAGGCGAATTTGAGGTAATTCTTGGTAAGCGTAGCTGTGCTTGTTGCTTGTTAAGGTAATTCCTCCTTTGCACTTATTCACCATGTTGATTTTGCGGCAAAGTTCTTCCTTTGGAGTTGAAATCCAGTCAGTGATGCTGGAACGGAAGATGGTGTCTTCTTAAAGTGGACAGCGGAGTTTGGAAGCACACTTCAGAACTGCGCGATCTTGGGTGGAACGAGGATGGAACGCAGGCCTGCTTCAGCCAATCTAAAGGGTCAGTAGAAGACAATGGGAGCATACCAGAATGGGAGACGTGCCAAACACTTGAAATCAGATCAGTAGAACATTAAGACCACAAACGATGCATACGTTTTCTTAGAACGAAGAAAGAACTACAGCAGAGATACCCGCGAATAAAAACCAGGACAAATCCAAACGAGGTACACTGCGGTCGGCCGTCAGTTGTCGACGGACAGCTTCCGCCGCTTGTATCGCACCATCACTTCCCCTTTGACCCCGACGACCATGGCCTTCCAGTTGTTCTCCGGGAAGGGAGATATCAACTCGAACTCGAAGTTCCTCAGCAGGTGGCTCCATATCGCCTTGATCTGCAAGTAAGCAAAAGGCTCCCCCAGGCATCCATGTCGCCCGCCCCCAAAGGAAATGTAGGAGAAGGCTCCCGCAGCCTTGTCTTCCTCCCTCCCGGCCGCAAACCTGTCAGGATCGTACGTATCCGGGTCCTTGTAGATGTGGGGAAGCCGGTTGGCGAAAGCTGGGGATGTCGCTACGATGTGGCCCTTGGGGATGTCGTACTCTTTCCCTTCTTTCGTCGTGACGGTGAAGTCGTCGTGGGAGTAGCGCAGCAGCATTATCAACGGAGGATGAAGCCTCAGAGCTTCCTTGATGCAGCGGTAGAGGACGTCCATCTCGGACAGGATGTCATGGTCCAACTTATTCCCGTGCCTCGCCATGATCTCCTTCTGCTCCTCGATGGCGGCCGAGAAGTACTGCTTGTGCCGGAGCATGTAAGCCCCGGTCCAGGTGGAAGTGATGGAGCTGGTGTGCTGCCCCGCGAAGAGTGCGGCAATGAGCAGCCCTGTGATCTCGCCTTCCGTGGTGGAGCGGCCGTCCTTGTACTTTGAGTCGATGAAGCACTGCAACATGTCGTCCTCTGATTTGCCGGAGCTCTTGCGTGACCTGATGATGGTGGAGAAGATCTCGGCGATCCTGGCGCGGGCACGATCGCGTCTGCGGTGGGCGGGGATGGGGAGGTAGGGGAAGATAACGCTGATGGGGCGCATGCCATTGTCGAGGTCGTGGAAGAGGGCAGAGACATCATCGAAGAGCTTGTCCCTGACCTCCCTCCCCAACAGGCACCGGCTTGCCGTCAGTATGATGAGATGCTCGAGCTCGTACTTCAAGTCCACCGTGCCGCTGTCTCCCCATTTGGAGAAGTAGCCCTGCAGAGAGCACCACCAAGCATTACCGATCACATAGTTCATGCTAACAACAACAATCTGGACTCCAGCAAAATCTTGTTCTTTCGATCAGATCAAAATGTGAGTGTCGATCGAATCGACCATGAGAGACAAAAGGATTACCTCGGCCTCGACGACCATCTGGTCCACATAGCTGCGCAGCTTGGTCACCCGGAGCGCCTCCGTGAAGAACCGGAACTGCTCCTGCCGCACCGAGTAGTCCACGTCGAAGACCACGCCGGGGCCGAAGGTGGGCACGTTGAACTGGTACACCTCCTGCTGGCTGAGCTGCGCCTCCGGCGCCTTGAAGAAGTGCCCGGACACCTCGGGCCCGATGAAGAAGCTGATCTTGCGATTGAGGATGTTGAGCGTGAACACGCCGCCAAGCTTCGCGTACTCCTCCCGGATCATGGGGATCGGGCCCCTCATGAACCGCAGCAGCCCGCCGACGACCGGCGGAGCCGAGACCGTCGGCGGCAGGCGCTTCCCAGACCTGGGCGCCAGGACAGAGGCGACGAGCTTCGCCAGGACCAGGGTCGCCGCCAAGAGCAGCCCCGCGGCGAAGAGCTTGTGCTCCGCAAGATCCATCGCGCCCAAAACTACAATCTGAAGCAAGATTCGACCTTTAGCCCAAAAACCTTGGGATCTTTGTAGAATAAGCAGAGATTTAGATCATTGTCAAGAACTTGAGATTAACTGAACAAAGACGAGGGCGTTGCAGAGAAAAAGAACTCAAGAAATCAGAGTTCAAATGCAGGATTACCTGTGATCGGGAAGCGGGGAAGGGGTTGGAGAAACAGCGAGATATGGGTAGAGAGAGATCAGAGAGGCTTTAAATAGCAGCTGAGGCCGCTCAGATCTGGGAGAAAACGACAGAGGAGAAGAGGAGGGAGAGAGGGATTAGGGAAAGAAGGAACAGGGGGCGCAAAACCGCAGTCCGAAGGTGGCGGCTTTGCTTTCTCTCATATGAATGAATAATATTTATGAATATGGTATTTTGGTTGTGTTTTAATGAAATTTGTTGGACTAATGTAAATGGCATTTGATATCAATATAACTTATAAGGTTAAGTTATTTAATTATACATCAAATCCATTATGTGCCACTTTTATTTTTCTAATAATTTAGAATTATTTTTTTTAGTTCATATTTATTTTGGTCTCGCACATATCAATATCGACACCACATGAATATTGATATTCATGTCATGTTTCCGGTAACTCTATTATCGACTCATAATATCATAATCTTCGATCGTCTTGATCAAAATGATATTGAGTATTATGTTGAAACATGTCTATATTCATATTAGGTAATTGTACCACATGTGATCCCCAATTTCATGAATGATTTATTTCATTATTTATTTA